GACTTGCGGCGCGGCGGGGGCGCGTCGCGAGGCGCATGGCGGCGCTGGTGGAGCTCGCTGCTGCTCCGGCGAGCACGAAGGTACGCGGCGGTGAACGGGGCCGCACCGGCGAACGGCGACGGGAAACGGCGGCGGCGGGGACGCCCAGGCGCGGGGGCGGTGACCAGATGGGCCGGGCGGGCCGGCCGTGGGCCTGCAGGGCCGCGGCGGTGCAGGCGAGGAGAGAGAAGGCGGCGGGGACAGGTGGCGAAGCGAGATTGGTCTGGCGCAGTCCGGTGGCGCGAGGTAGAGGAAGGCTAGGGTTAGACCGCGAATTTCGGAGGGGATCACATATTTATAGGTAGAGGGAGCTAGGAGAGTCCAAATGAGGTGCGGTTTTCGGCCACGCGATCGTGATCGAACGATCTAGATGATGGAGGAGGTTTTGGTGGATTTTGGGCCACTTTAGAGGGGTGTTGGGCTGCAACACACACGAGGCCTTTTCGGTCCCTCGGTTAACAGTTGGAGTATCAAACGAAGTCCAAATGGCACGAAACTTGACAGGCGGCTTACCGGTAGTAAACCAAGGCCACATGACAAGTCTCGGTCCAACCCGAGAACGTTTAACACCCGCACACGAAAAGAGGTAGAAAAGGACACCGGAGGACATAGGAGCGCCGGATTGCAAAACGGACAACGGGGAAAATGCTCGGATGCATGAGACGAACATATATGCAAAAGAAATACACATGATGACATGATATGAAATGCATGACACGCTAGCAAATGATAAGGCAACAACAGCGAATAACTGGAAGACACCTGGCACATCGGCCTCGGGGCGTCACACAAGTGGTGCGAGTTCTGGGTCCAGGTGCAGATGTTCAAGGAGCACATGGTGCTGGGGCACGGCTGGCAGTACTTCTGCTACCGGCACAAGATCATCCATGGTGACCTTGTAGTCTTCAAACTCTCCGACCTGGGGCTGAAGGTGCAGATCTTTCAACGCTAACCACTCCAACATCTGCACGATCCAATGCTCCAAGCACAGCTACGTCAGCGAAATTACTCAGGCCCTGTAATTCATCTGTGAAGTCTGAAACTCAGAACTGAAGTAGTTTAGGTTAAGTTTGAACTTATCTTTTGCTATGAACATGTCCATATTTTTCCCAGGGAGCAATACCCTGGGGTCCAGCAGGGGCATGTGATGCCCTGCTCTTTAAACTTATGCCTAGTAGTGTTATTATCCTACTTATGCCTAGCTTAGGTGCCTGTTTTCATGTTTTGTGCTCTGTTCTTCGTGATCTGCTGTTGTTGTTCTTGTGTTGATCATCCTCTCTATGTTGTGTGCTGGCAAATGGGTGGTAAGTCCATCACATTTGAAAGGGTGAGCAGATCAAGTACTTGCACACAACAAAACAGCCGTGCTTTGCATTTGCTCACACCCGAAGCACAAACATAGGCAACCAAACAACATGCACCCATCAGGGCCTTGATGCAATGCAGGCAACCAATCAACATGCAGATGTTGGTTTTTTGCCTGCATATGTTCAGCCAAGCTCAATTGGGAAAAGTATGCAAAGTGGCAAAAAATGATGCAGGTAACCAAACGCATCCTAGATGTCCGTGAACACGTTCTTGCATGTTTATGGAAAACGGATAAAGGAAAACTCGATGCATCAAATATATGTTTATTTATAAAAATACATTAAAACTAAATCAAACGTTCACCATGCAATCTCACTTTGAATCATATATCAATAGCAGTTCTTCATACATTTAAATTCAAAATGCATTGGATGTCGACAAGTTTTTAAAGTTCATCGATAGGAAATTCAGCCATACTCCTTGAAAAGCGGCTTTCATCAAAAGGGTTATCTCCTCAAGCTTGAACATCTTAATCGACACATGCTTTTCACCCAGATGGGCTCCTCCTGAGCATCATCCAACAAGGCGTCAAAGTGAAGGGTTTGCCGTCCGTTGTTTGGTACATTGCGGCAGCGTGCGTGTGTTATACAATGATGTGATCATCAAGTTGTAACATGAGTGAAAATATGGCCAACCACGCGCCACACAACAATACATCCTCCCTCATCAAGCCCCTCGCCATCGTGCTTGCTTCATGTTAATCAAGGGGAAAGTAAAAAAAAAAGAAAGATTCTCAATGGCATCTGGCTGAATATTTGCTCCGTCATGGACAACGTCGCCAGTGTGCGGATGATACATTGTTGCAGACGGATGTCGGGTGCAATGGCGGCAAAGTACAAGGCGCTCGGATGGAGCAGCGGAGGTTCGGCAAGAATTGGGTGACGAGTGACGATGGTCTGGTGGGTGCTGATACAGACTAATGGGGAAGGGGGGAGGGGGATAAGAAGGAGGGGGAAATGGCTCCGGGAAGGGTTTTGGATGGGTTGTATGTGTAGGAGTTTGACTGGTGGGCATCCGGACTTCCCCAAACCTCTCCCCCAAGTTTGTTTCTGATTAGAAAATTCAGATTAAGAATTGATCCACGGATGTTTGATACACGTCATTCGGTGGTAAAAAGTGTCTAAATCATGATATCCAAACGTTTGATGCACGACATTAGAGATGCCCCTACCCAGCCCGCTCCGTCGTCCGATGGATTGGATGCGCCGCGCACAAACAAAAGCCGGCTGGGCCGGCGACCAACGGGTCTCACCATATATTCTCTAGCCTCTCTTCGCTTTATTTTCTTCTTCCAGACTTCGGCCGAGTACCCCGTCGCCGTCGCCGTGTACTGCGAATCGGAGACTGGCGCACGCGCGCGCCCGCCCGTCTCCACCGCCCACGGCGACAGAATGAACCGCGGAACAGCAGCTCCCGGCCCGCCGGGTCGCCGTCACACGCGCGCGTACCGTACTGTTTCTCCTTCAGAGAAAAGACGGCCGATATGCCGTTGGTTCAGAACAAAAAAGATTCGAGGGCCGTTGATCCATTGCTATCAATCTTGTGTTGCCTAGAGTAAAGAAGATTCGATGGCCGCTGTTCCATTGTAAATGGGTTTGACCGCAAGGAAAAAGTAATTACTTCGCGGTTAATTTGACCGGGGTAAGGACATCACCAACGCCGACCCATAAACCTCCTGTAATTGTTCGGACCGTGAAAGCCATCCAAAGTTGACCTGTATCAGTCCGCGGCGGTTCGGACGTGATTTCTCTCGTAAATTGAAGACAAACATGAGGGAGTTGATGGGAGTCCGAACACGGGAAATGTCGCTCTCTGCCAAGCCCGCGCTTTTGTAGCATCCCGCACTGTTTTCACACCAAAATTCCTCATTTTCTTTTTTCACTCCCGACCACTCTCCACTCAATTCCCGCTCTTTTCTCCGACCCTCTCCTTCCCTCCGCCGCCGACACATGGAACCGTCGAAGAACCTGTCGGATATGGAGGCGACGGAGGTGCCGTAGGACCCGAGAATCACGCTCGCCCGAAAGATCAGCTCGGGGATGCGGCAAAATCGCCGTGTCAAAGCGAATGCTGCAATGGAATAGAAGATGAGGAAGCGTCTGGCCGCAGGTGAGCCTGGTGGTGGCGATGGGCGTGGTGGACGGGGCGGTAGGCGAGGCCGTGGCGGACACCACCAGCCGGGTGCGCCCACAATACAGACGGCGTCGTGGCCGGAGCCTTACAAGCCTTCATACTACTACGCCGCCAAACAGCTCGAAAACCCCGCCGGTACGGTTCCTTACATCGTCGATATTAATGGGGGCGGCGCTCTTCTCTGAGTATTCTTCATCGTCGCTCGTCCGGGCGAGGACGGCGGGCGGATAGCAGATGGGTGCCCGCGTGTTGTTTGCCGCAATGCCGAGAGCGGGGGAGTCGGCGTACGACGTGGACAAGAAGATGCTCGATATCATCCTCGACAGAGGCAGGGGAGGAGGAGGGGGCTATGAGGACGGGCAAGTGGAAGACTCGGATATGCTCTAGTATTATTGATCACTAGCCAAATATGCTCTAGTTTGGTGATCACTAGTCGGATATGCTATAGGTTTGTTGATCACTAGTCAGATCTGCTCTAGTTTTGGTGATCACTAGTCGGATATGCTATAGTTTTGTTGATCACTAGTCGGATCTGCTCTAGTTTTGTTGATCACTAGCCGGACATGTATTGTTTTGTTGCTCACTAGACGAATATGCATTATTTCACTTCTGTATCCTACTCGTGCTTGTGTGGTGTACAAGAAGTTGGAGAAGAAGTTCTTCACCGTTATGCATTGTTGATTGAAGTTGAATGGACAGCTGAAGTGGAACATTTTCATTGCCAAGACCGTCGCCCAGGCCAATGAGGAAGAAACCAGTGACCCTACTGACCCAACCCAAGAACCGCCGAAGAAGGTTAGAAGAAATCTGCGAGGCAAGAAGTGGGAGGAGGAGATGGCGAAGCGAGAAGGTGCGGCGGCCAAGCTGACGGAGAGGTTAGAGGAGATCTTGTCGAAGAAGGAAGAGGCATGCGTGAGGCGCTCGGACATCAAGGAGGAGTGGAAGGCGGAGAGGTTCACACAGTTGATGGATGCGACGAAGAAGATCAAGCTCGAAGAGAGAAGGACCATGATCAAGGAGAGGAAGGCGGCGCTTGAGGAGAACAAGGCTGCGCTCGAGGAAAACAGGGTGAAGATGACCGCCAATGCGGAGGATATCAAGGTGTTGACCTTGAATATCGACTCTTTGGATGTCGACACTAGAATTATCATGCAATACGTCCGCTACCAGATGTTGGAGCGGTAGAAATATCATCGGCGGCGACGGAAGATGAGGACGCGGCGGAGGCGGACGCGGACGCGGAGGCTGCCTACGCAGCAGCGACAGCACCTCTTTGATCCGGAAGCATCTTGCTAGGATGGCCGATCCGACAGGAATGCATAGACTGATGTTCTTTTGGGTTTGGGCATGTAAAAACTAAGCATATTTACCTTCTTTTAGTTGTGATCAGGGATGTGATCCGGCATGTTGTGTGGATCAACGTAGATTTAAATTTAGATTTACCGGTGAATGGAATGTGACTACGATTGGATGACATCCTCCTGCATCCGTGTCTGTGGACTGGTCCTCCGTCCAGACGGATGCGGTAGGTTTTTTGCGGGGTGTGATTGGAGAAGCACTAACTCTTGCGGTCTGATAAATTTCTCTGAGATGTTGCGTCGCGAGAAATGCATCGCGATGTGATTTTGCTCGATCAACAGTTCAACATAGGATTCCAGGAAATAAACTGAATAATTCATGGCGATCGATCAGGTGGATGTTGTACATGAACGAGGTAATGGTGGGAGAAGGGAAAAAATGGTGGATTAGCGTTGTCCTCGATCCATGGGACGTGGCTCCATCGATCATGCAAGGTTCACATGATGTGGCAGCCGACGGCGTTGTCCTCGTTGAAGTAGTCCACGTCGAAGCGCGACGGCTGAGGCCGGACCAGCTGCTGCTGCTGATGAGGAGGCTGCCACGGCATCGGGGCCGGCGGCGGAGGCGGCATCGCGTAGTACCCGCCGCCGTTGTAGTAGGACGGCGCCGTCACGTTCGCCGCCGCGTAGTACGGCATCGTCGGCATGTACTGCATGGGCACGGCCATGCTGGGCGGCTCGGCGCGGTAGTAGTTGTGGTGCGCTGCCGCCGGCGCGTGGTCGGGAGCGGAGGCCTTGGCCTCGGCCGCGAAGCCATCGGCTTCTTGTTTGAAGGCGCTCGTTTCGTCGCCGGCGGCGCCCTTGGCCTTCTTGCCGTGATCATCGGCGTCACCGCCGCCGCGCGCGGACTGCTTGTGCTGGTGCGCGCACTTGGTGCATTCTTTCTTGGACGACGCCGCCGCGGGCTTGTTGCCGCCGTTGTCCATGCCGTCCTCCTTGCGCTTGCTCTTCTCGCCCGCCATCCCCGGCGCCGGCGCCGTCCAGTCGCCACCGTCGCGGTCCTTCCCACCATCGCCCTCGCGCTTCTTCTGCTGCTCGGGCACCGCCGCCTCCACCACCTCGGCGATCTTGCCGACCTTGGCGAGCTTCTTGACGAGCACCTTGGTGTCGACGTTGCCGACGACGGTGACCCGGTCGAGCGACGGGTGGATCTCCGTCCTCAGCACGCCCTTGAGGTTCATGGCCTTCATCACCTTCCTCCTGCAGCCGTCGCAGCAGCTCACGTTCACCTTCAAATCAACTCTCTGCACACACCACCACCAACAAAAACCAGGTCAGAGGTTGCCCATCCACAATCAAGCACCATGGAAGACACATCAACGGACAACTGAGCTCTGAGTCTCTGACTGAATGCTATGCATACCTTGAGCTCTTCTTCCTTAGCCATGGCGATGATGACTACGGCGCGGGAGCTCAAGAGAGGCGACCGATCGCTCTGGAGCTGAGTGAGTGAGTGATGAGGTGGGTTGGCTAGACCGTTGCCGCCCTGTATTTATACACCAGTGAACGAACACCGAACACACATGTGCAGTGCAGAGAGCTCTTGCAACTGGAGCCGTTTAGATACCCGGCCATACGTGCACGGTCCGTCTGTTGATTCCTAGCTGTATTTACCAGTGTATTTTAATCATCCTAGCATAAGGGAGGAGAGGGTATATACCGGGCACAACTCAATGATGTGTACTTGCAGTTAAAAACAATTGTGTACTTTCAGTTGCATGGCAGCCGCTCACCATGTTTTCTCTGTTCTTGCGCCAGCACCAGAGCAGGGCAGAGACATTATGCTGTGGCATCTTCACTGGCTACTGTAATAATATATGTGATGACCACATCTTTAGCTAGTACTCCCTCCGTCCCAAAATTCTTGTCTTAGATTTGTCTAGATACAAATGTAACTAATACTAAAACGTGACTTGGTACATCCGTACTTGGACAAATCTAAGACAAGAATTTTGGGACGGAGGGAGTACTATAATATTACTTCAACTGAAGGTTCTTCTCCTAGTGCATATATGCTATATTCAAAAAAGATAAAAAATTGTGCGAGCTCGGGGCCCTTAATTTGAGATTATGTTGTTGACTTGCTGGGACATGGTTTATGCAAAGTTGTAACTGCAAATGGTTTATGATATCTGCAGTTCACTGCTGAGAAGAGCATGGAAGCATTGATCAGGCTGGCTGAATTGCCTGTCATACATCCTTTAGAAACAAATACACTAAGTCCACTTCATGGCTCTGTAACCATCCATTTGATACAGCTTTTGCACCCATGTTACAGAGTATACAGCACAAAAGAGTAGAGGAGAGAGTACATTATACCGATAAATCTGATGGCATACATGTAGCCGCACCGGGAGCGATGATCTGGGATTCTGGGGGCAGGTACAAGTTGCACAGCTTTTAGTCCATGATTAATCACAGCCAGACGCACAAATACCCGAACAAATCTCAGTGATTAGTTTAATCCCAAGAATCAGCTCGCCATTAAGCTTGGTACCAGCAGAGGAAAGGGGGAAGCCATCTGTATCGAGCCATCGTAAGTGCCTCACAGTCTAGCATAGGGAAGCATAAGGCATCTCACACCATTAAACAAGGTTATATACACCATAGCAGAGGACGTCCTTTTCCACTTCCTTTCTTCAAGTTGTGCATCTGCAGCAAAGCAGCGATCAAATGGTCTGAAGATGCATAGTATCACTAGGAAGACAGGCGAGCGAAGGCAGGATATTCGGGGATCACCTTTTGATGAATACTTTTAGCGGATCTATGAATCAATTTTGAGAGTATGTCTGGTCATGGTTCAGCGTAGTATTAGTATTATAATACAACCTATGCATTTGCTGCTGCCTCACGCAATATGACAGGGCCCAACCATGGGGCATCCAGGTAACAAGCACCTTCGGCTGGAATTTGGACTCCGGGCATCTTCAGAAGTGCAGGGGTAGAACATTGTTTTCATGCAGCCATCCAAGCTTCATCGGGGTCTGGGATGATGATATCAGTCCTCATCATTGGCCGGTACTCTGCAGGTATTTCAGCTCCCGCCTGCACACATAGCTCGACCACGGCCGGAGCTTTGCCATAGAAACTCCTTAGAGAGGATCTGAGAGGAGGGCCAGTGGGGTCAGGGACATGCCACACATAGTTCGGTGGTATGACCTCATCCACAACAGCATCCTGCCACCCGTGCTTGCCGTCTCGCCATTGGTGCTTGAAAGCCCCACAGAGCTTCACATTGTGTCCCCATGGACCAACGTGGACCTCAGAGCAGTACCCGCATGCTTTTACCGTATACTTGCTCATCAGCTGCGTAACACCCCGCCGGACATCACAGTATGCTTTCAGTGTCCTCTCTGCATGCTCTTTCACATTGGCCGGCGCGGGTGACTGTCCCTGTTGGTTGCTAAATGTGTCAAGCTCAGCAAGAAGAGATATACAGTCCTCCAATCGGTGTGGCTTAGGCTCATCGACAACTCCGCCACGGTCAATAACCTTCTTGCCAATCATCCGCACAGGAGCAGTCCGTCTCCTTGTGGGATATTGTGGTAGGTCGACACCAGCCTGAATGCATAGCTCAACAATTGCTGGAATCCTGTCGAAGTCAAACCTGGTGTCATGCTTGACCCTCCGCCCAAATGGGTCAAAAAGATGGTAAGATTCGATCGGGATGAGCACATCGTTGATGGATCCTCTGACCCAAGAGTGGTGACTATTTCGTCGCTGGCTTCCTGAACCATAGCAATCTTGTATCTGGTGGCCAACTGGGCCAACATGGACTTGAGGGCATTTTCTACAAAATCACAAGACGGATATTAATATACAAGATACTACTCGCCGAATCATGTCACAGGATAGTGAACGACGTACCTATACAAGGGTCATGAAACATTAATGCATGTATAAACAGCTTATGACACAGATCAGAATTTAGTGCTTACCTGCAACCATAAACTGTAACAACATTCAGAAGTTGAGAGATGCCTCTGATGAGCACTTTCCAGTTCTCAAGGACTTCGTAGGCAACAGGGACAAGCTCTGGTAAAAGCAAGCCGTTCTTTGGGGGCTCAAGAGGCTTCTCTATCCTCATCTGTGCAAGCCTCTTATCTTTGCGGGAAGCTTGCAGCATCTTTTTAATTGGGACAGGAAATGGCTTCTTTTTGTTCTTCGGGTGTAATTCTGGGAGATCAACATTTTGTGGTTGTTGCTGATACCTCTCATGCCTCTTGCTAGCAGGATCAGGAGAGTACTCACAGCATGTTACTGACCTTGCCCGGCCAACTCGTTGAGGTTGGGATCCTATCTGTGACAAGTTGTAAACAAAAGGGATAAGTATAAACCGATCACAGTGCTTGCAAACAGACAGTGAGCGTAAAACTCTTCGACTGCGGCAGCACTCCATCACAAATTCGTTTCGAGCATTCTACCGAAACCAAAACTACAGCAAAACGGACCAACGGGCCGTTAATGGTAGTTATCTGCCAGAATGTAATCACAAAGATAATGGTGCAGACTGGAAGGGAATCTCGTAAAGCAAAATTCAATGTAAAATGGCACTGCAGCAGGCCTAGCTGCATAAGATATCCACTAACTGAAAATTGATAGGCCCTATGAATCTGAATAATTTTTGTTCCCAGCTGGGTGTATAGAGATGATATACTTGTATTGGTCTTTAATGTCACAGCAATTTGTCAATCAATAAGCTAGACAAAGGCATGGGAGTTAAAGTGCGGCACAGGTGCTGAAAAAGTTCTGCTATGGAATAGCACCACACTTCTTACGAGCGCGTGGGATCCATCTCGGCGGCTCTCGGGGCTTGGCGAGGCGGGGTGGGAGCCCACCTCCTAGGCTCCAGTGGTGGCACAATCAAGCAGTGGCCGGTGCGCTAAGGCTCCTACGGTGGCACGGTGCACAGGTTGTCGGGTGGATTTCTTGGGACGGATCCGGGTGAAAACCTGGTTTTCGGTTGATGGCCGGAGCCGATGATGACGATGCCCCTATCATCGTTTCCTTCATGAAGGCATCATCAAGGTGAAACTCCCAACTCCACTCAATACCTCCGGGGGAAACCCTAGATCAACTGATCGGATGTCGGCGGCAAGCATGTGTCGTTACCCCCTTGGGGGCGGCATTCTTGGAGGTGCACTCGGCTTCGCGGGACCAACGGACGACATCTTTGGTGGAGCGGTGCTTCATCCTACACATTGATGGCGACGGATCTCGACGGCGTGGCACGGTGCAGATTCGGAGTTCGACGTGCGAGGATGGACTCGCGCAGGAGGACGACGCTGTCTGGCGTCGTGGTGGCGTCGATGGCAGAGAGACCTGGCACGGTACATGCAACAGTACAGCTCTGAAGATGGATTGGTGGCAGGTGGCTGCGGCGGCCTCATACCCGGCAGACGTCCTGGTTGAGGGGTGCGCCGGACTGGTAGGTGCCCCATACCCGGCAGGCGCCCTGGTTGGGACCTCAGGTCTTAGATGTTTAGGTTTGGCTGCGATGTCTGTTTGGTATTAGGCCTAGACTATCAGCGCCCCTTCATCAATTGGATAGGAGTAGCGACAATTGTTGCTTAGATGGTGGCTTTAGTCTTACTGTTGTATGACTTTGTAAGGTCTTGTGAAAATAATTAATAAAGTGGCCCTATGCATCGCCCAGATGCAGAGGCCGGGGGTCCTCCTCTTTTTCTAAAAAAAAAAGCACCACACTTCTTATGATAACCATTCATGCGAGCAACACAGCATCATAGACTTCCATTTTGACTACCTTGAATGGTTGGAGGGCAATTTGTATACTCGATTGGCTAACCTACAGATGACATAAGAATCCATTCAAGCCTCTTTGGCTGTCCTGTGATTGACTGGGAACTGGTTGTATAGCGAGAGCAAGGAATCGATACCTTTACTAACTGGTTGGCCCTGGTTCCATTGATGCCTGTCAAGCTAAAACGAACGCCTGAATTGAAGATTCAAAGGTAAACTTTAGACGCAATCATACACAATTCTGATAATAATGTAAGAATTAGGATACTGAAAAGGCAATGGAACTGTGGAAGGCAATGAGGATTGCTTGACAGTGAGAACCTACCCTTACAGTTAAGTATCTCCATGCCACAAACCCAGCCCCCCAAAAAGGCGCTGTAAATTCAGCAGATACGGAAGGCAACTTAATGTGGGTTCAGTTGCTGCTTCGGTTGCCAGGAGACGGAGGAGGAGCAGACGATGCCGGTGGCGGAGGAAGGGCGGCGGCGGCGCCGGCAAAGGAGGAAGAGAAGGGCCGGGGCGGAAGTGCCCAGGGAGAGACCGAGCCGCCGTCTCCTCGCGCGCGCCACTACGCAGGGAGCGCTACTGCCGAGCCCAGCGGAGAAACTATCGGGTAGGTCGCGGGCACGGAGGCTACACTGGAGAAGAGGACGCCGGAGGAGGGAGGGTGGAGCTCTGCTTAGGCACCAACGGCCGGAGCTCACGGGCGGCGACGAGCGTTGCACGAATGGCGGAGAGAGATAAGAACAGCAACAGTGAAAATATCTCCGTTTCTTATTCACACATAGCCCGTAGGTCTGCCTGATACACAGGCTCACCTTGGGGAAATGGGCTGTAATGTGTACGAAAGTGCATCCGCCTGTATTGGGCCGGAACACTCGGTTAAAGAAAGAGCATGGATGGCTGTTCCACTCGGTTAAAGAAAGGGAATTTCTATTTGCCCGAGATCACTTGTTAAGGGTTATTACTGGTAAAGATCACTCTCCAGACGCTCACAAGTGACGCATTACTTGTACATCGCTTATCGTAATGTTAATTTAGAAGTTTCTCTTTCTTTTAGATTTATTTATTAAAAGAATTCTTGAACGGTGCGTCCAACTCCCGAACCGTTTTTACCATTGGACCCGCGTCAAGATTTTTTAAATTGGATCACATGTTAATAGGTTTTAACTAACTTTTTTATAAATGAAAAAAATAAATACCAAAAAATCCGATAAAAAACAAAAAGCAAAAAAATGAATAATGAAAAAACGAAAAGAAAAACAAAGGCAGAAGCACGGTTGCGGTTTTTCAAAAAAAAATGAGAAGCACAGCTTGTTTTGTTTTTCAGAAATACAGATCTATGTCTTCACTAGAAGCAAATTTGTGCTTCTCATGGACAATATATTTTTCCTTTCCAAGAGGTACAGTTACACTTCTCATGGAAATAAATCTGTGACTCCACGAGAAGTAAATTTGTGCTTCTCGCAAAAGCACATATTTTTCTCTTTTTGAGAAGCACAATTATGCTTCTCGCGGAAGCAAATCTATGCTTCTCGTGGAAGTATAATTTTTTTCCTTTTCCGAGAAGCATAACTCCGTGCTTTCACGAGAAGCAAATTTGTGTTTCTCGTGAAGGCATATTTTTCCCATGCAAAAAAAGTTCACATAGTTGTTTTTTCCAAACCCTCAGGAAAAAATCAGGTGAACCCCAAATAGCCTAGAAAGCCTAGAAAAAACCTATCTTAAACCCGGAAACGTGTATTGAAAAATTAAAAAAAATCTAGAGGGAGCGCCCAGCACGCCACATGTGGTGGCGGCAGGACGCACCACTTGGCATGCTCCCAAGCCACTAAAAGTTACCCCTGGAGGTCCCCAGGAAGAGGTAACCTTCAGAGCACAAACGCCGCTGAAAGAACATGCGGTGCCTTCATGTTTGGTTTTGGCAATTGATGACAATCTCTATGGACTAATGGTTGCCTTGAGTTATATTTAAAGGTTTTGTCCATATGCTTTTCTTGGAGTACATGTGTTGGTTTCAAGGAGAGTTTGTGTCGACCAAGGTGCCATTCAAGGAATTATCCAAAGATTGGTCATGTGAGTGTCGAGCTTATTGCAAGCATGTCTTGAAGAAGAAGATTGTGTAATCATTCATGTCTACCTTCGAGACATCATCCAAATGAAGAGAATTGAAAAGATTCAAGGTTGATCAAGATTAAGTCTAGAATGAATCAAGTTGATCAACTCACAAAGCGCAAAAGATGTACCGAGAGGGATCAAGTGATCCCATGATATGGTAAGCATTGTCAATTTCGCTTTGTGTACTAACCCATGGTCTTCGTGAGAGTTCTTTGTGGGGTTAGGTTGCGGTGTGCAAGTTCAAGTGGAGCATCATGAAGAGATCAAATGCTTGAAGCTTGTCGTCCATTATGGTGACAATGGACATGTGAAGATGTGCGGAAGAGTGGCTCACCCATAATGGAGTATGGGGGAGCAATCAACTAGTCTTCATCGAGCCAACACAATCAAGAAAGGTGGTCCAACTTGAGGAAGTCAAGATCGTCATCATCTAGCTCAAGTGGACCATGTGCAAGGCAAAGGTTTGCCCTTGATAGGTTTTCTATTTTACCGGTCTCATGATGGTAGTTGGGAGACCGGGTTATAGGATCGATTGCCGTACTATCAATGGGGGCTCTCGATGAGTAGCTTGATCGTATCGTTCGTTGAGAGCTCAAACCATTGCATCCTTGCATCATCTTTCTTGGTTCTTGTTTGGTTCTCTTTGTGAGTCTTAGAGCTTATGGTCATCTTGATGACAAGCTCGAGTTCATCGAAAACGGAGTTCACATGCATCTTCTATGATGTTTTCGATGTTGGAGGTTTTGCCGGTTCTTCTCGGTTGGAGGTTTCACTCCTCTTTTTGTTAGGCATACCTCCCCTGCCTCTTCGTACTATAACCAGTCGATGTTTTGATGCTACTCGTCGTCTTGTTTCCAACAAGCTTGAGTTTGCTCAATTCAGAGCTCATATGCAGAAGTTATGGCAGTTCTTGTCTTCTTGAGAGTGGCTTTTGTCTGGTCCCAGCGGTAGTACCGCTTGGAGCTCTCAGCCGTAGTACCACTGCAGTGCCGCTCTTCTACCGCCTCGATTTTGGGTCCTGCTCTTTTCATGTCGGGTTTAGCAGTAGTTGCACGACAGTAAGGCACGGTAGTTCCGCCTAAGCGGTAGTACCACTCCGGTCGGGCGGTAGTACCGCTACTGCATTACTGCCATCGTACTCTGCTCTGCCCTGCCTCCTTTGGTCCCGTGTTCTGCCTCTTTTAGTACCGCTCATGTGCGGGCTAAGCACATAACGGTTGGATTTTCCCCTCCTATAAAAGGGGGTCTTCTTCCCCAATGAACCTTATCCTTTGAGCTCGTGTTCTCCCCCCGTTGTTTGAAAGGATCGATATAGTTGACTAGAGGGGGGGTGAATAGGCAACTAACAATTTTTAGCTTTTCTTTAACAATTTAAACTTTGCATCAAAGTAGGTTGTCTAGATATGCAACTAAGTGAGCAACCTATATGATGCAACAAACATAAGTACACAAGCAAGCAAGAGATATATCACAAATAAGCTTGCACAAATAAAGGCATGAGATAACCAAGAGTGGGGCCGGTGGAGACGAGGATGTGTTACCGAAGTTCCTTCCCTTTGAGGGGAAGTACGTCTCCGTTGGAGCGGTGTGGAGGCACAATGCTCCCCAAGAAGCCACTAGGGCCACCCTATTCTCCTCACACCCTCACACAATGCGAGATTCCGTGATTCCACTATTGGTGCCCTTGGAGGCGGCGACCGAACCTTTACAAACAAGGTTGGGGCAAACTCCACAACTCAATTGGAGGCTCCCAACGACACCACGAAGCTTCACCACAATGGACTATGGCTCCGCGGTGACCTCAATCGTCTAGGGTGCTCAGACACCAAAGAGTAATAAGATCCGCAAGGGATTAGTGGGGGGAATCAAATTTCTCTTGGTGGAAGTGTAGATCGGGGCCTTCTCAACCACTCCCGAGCGAATCAACAAGTTTGATTGGCTAGGGAGTGAGATCGGGCAAAAATGGAGCTTGGAGCAACTATGGAGCTTAGGGTTGGAAGAGGTAGTCAACTAGAAGAAGAAGACACCCCTTTTATAGCTTAGGACGAAAATTCAACCGTTATCCACCTACCAGCCCGCGACCAACGGTACTACCGCAAGGCCATGCGGTACTTCTGCTCCTGACCGCAGCAGCAGTAGCTAGGGCAGACCTGAAGCACAAGGGCTAAGGATGGTACTGCCGCAGGCGCGGTACTACCGCTCCCCCTTGCGGTACTCTCGCAAGGCAGGAAACCCCTAGCCTGGGAAGAGCGCGAATAAACATACATCCGTGCCTACTTCCATTGGAACACGGACGAAGCAAAAATCCGATACAGTACTACCGCAGAGGAGCGGTACTATCGCCTCGCAGTAGAGCCAGACCACGCACGGTACTACCGCGCAAGGGATGCGGTACTACCGCGGTGGCACGGATGTAAAAAATTACATCTGCCCCTACTACCGTGAAGGAGCGGTACTTGGCCTAGGGGCCACGGTACCACGGCTCTAGAGGAGCGGTACTACCGTGGGCACCTGCGGTACTACCGCGCTGAAGTATGGTACTACCACGGGTGCCTGAGGTACTACCGCTCAAGAAGGAGCAGTACTACCGCAGCCCATCAACAGCAGCCAGGACAAGGTGAAGAGAATAAACGGAGGATGCTCCAAAGTGCAGGGGAAAGGAGGGGACAAGGAAGAAAACGTGTACGTGATGATTCCATCCAAACCTTTCCGACACGGACACCCTCTTAATAGTACGTCTTTCCTACGACTCAAATCCACCTAAAAGAAACGTAGAAAAAATGTCGTCTTCAATAGTCTTCGAGGGGCACCAAACCGTCTTGTGCCTAGCGATGAAATGTCTGGGAAACTCACGGCACACGATTAGTCCGCAAAAGCATTGTCATCAATCACCAAAACACCTTAGGGATAAATATGCCCTTACAATCTCCCCCTTTTGGTGGATTGATGACAATACGGGATTTGCACAATGGCAATAATGTTAAGCAAACGCAAACCCCTCTTCTCTAGAATATAAACGGGCTCCCCCTAGATGTGTGCCAACTAGATGGGTGCTTTGGACTACACGGCACACATACTAAGATCAAAGCTCCCCCTATATTATAGAGACAAGGCATATCTTGCAAAAGTAAGGCTAACACTAGACAAGATAGCAAATACGAGCATAACAAGTAGCACAATCATAAGCTCACTAAGATAGAATAGAGTGCATATGTCTTACACCATATAA